ACTGCCCACTCTACGGTCTGCTCCTACTGCCCACTCTACAGTCTGCTCCTACTGCCCACTCTACAGTCTCTGTCTCTTATACACATCTAGATGTGTATAAGAGACAGCCTCCACCCTGTACCCCCCCCCCAGGCCTTTACCCCACTATTGTCTGTGTCCATGGGTTATGCATATATACATACAAATTCTTATGTTAATCTCTCCCCACCCACCCTCGCCTGCCCTCTGAGATTCGTCAGTCTGTTCCATGCTTCTATGTCTCTGGATCTATTTTGTCCATCAGTTTATTTTGTGCATTAGATTCCACATATGAGTAAAATCATGTGACACTTGTCTTTCTCTGACTGGCTTATATCACTTAGCATAATACTCTCCAGGTCCCACCATGCTGTCTCAAAGGGTAAGGGAGCCTTTGTTTTTATAGCTGCATAGTATTCCATGGTGTAAATGTCCAATAAGATGCTTGATATTATTTCAATCTTCTTGAACTTGTAGAGACTTGTTTTGTGTCCTAACATGTGGTCTATCTTTGAGAATGTCCCATGTGCACTTGAGGAAAATGCCTATTCTACAGCTTTGGGGTGGAATATTCAGACAGTCTCTTTTTAAAAAAGTATCCTGTCCACCACTAAGCTAGCTGTCCTGACACTGGTTCTGACCTGATCCAGCAGTGTGGGTGGTTTTAATCCTGACTTTTCCATGATCCTTCTGCCACTGCAAGAAGCAGAGCAGCCCTGCATCTGAGCACTGGATACTGCTCTCAGAAGAGGCACTTCATTTACTTGATTCCGAACTCTTCAAGAGGGGTTCATTTGCCAACCTTCCCTAGCAAAGCAAAAACAAAGGCATCTAACTCTGAAAAATTAGTAAGCAAAAAATTATCTGGATTAATTCATTGCTTTCAAGCAGTGAGTGCTACAGGTAATCTGGACCAAATTCCGCCTTTAAAAAAAATTCTAATCTCAAATTACTGCCTTCCCAATATTAGAATTCTCTTTCCTCAGAGCCCAGGTTATCACAGACTAAGAGTTTAATGCCCACATCAAAGACCACTTCCCCATTTCATTTACGCATTTTTCTGAGCATAAGAAAGATGGGTTTTGGGGAAGGACAGTGAATCAAAATGGAAACTGGAAAATCAGCTACAATCTGAGTTATCTCTTTAATGTCCTTGGTACCGGCTAGTAAGGCAATAAATAGATCTTTCTCTTCCTCAATAAATAGAGAACACAGGAAGGAATTTGCTTTCATTAGAAAGTCCAGCAGGTCTAAGGGCTCTTTTTAAGATTCTGAACTGACAAGGCATCTTTATGTAGTGGGCGGAGCAATCAGCTTCTGAAATGCTGCTGGTGTACTTGCTCTTGGCTCCTGAGCCATCTGCTCTTACCCAGAAAGGGGATACGAAGTGGTTAGATGCACAGACCCAGGAGTCAGGCTGTCCAG